CATGCTACCATTTGTGAATATGAAGTGATTAAAAGAGCAAACTTCAAAGCCAAGAAATTAACTGAATGAAGGCAAAGGAACAAACTCTAGCAAACCTCTCCATACCGAGGCTAGACGAAACATCTCCCATCTTTCTTCCCTTCCTCTTTTTCATTTTTTTTAAAAAAAACAAAATAAACTAGCTTAATGTCCCGATCCAAGCAACACATCATATTTTAACACGCATAAAATCATGCCTTGGAGTTAGGAAACAGGAAAATACCACACCCGTGCACATGCACCTCATAAAAATGTAAACTCTCAAATCCACCAAGTGTAACACATTAAACCCAAAGAAGCTTTCACATGTCTTAAAAGAGCAAAAAAGTATTTTTAGATGCCATCGGAAACATTGCAAATCAGAGGAAGGAAGATAAATACCTCTTAATGCCGATTTAAAATAAAATTATAAGAATGATTCAAGAAAACCACTCCGAACGAGATATCCCTCCCAAGATCTTCAGAAACGGCAACCAAAAAAATGCTCCGCGCCACAAACACTCGAAAGTTCTAGCTTAAAGAGGATTTTGGCAAAGCCTCTTCTCCTTCAAGAGCTCTTTCTTTCATCCTCAAAAATTTTAACAACTCCCAAGCCACAGAAAATGTAAGTTAGAAAAGATTTTGGCAGCACCTCCCCACTCTCCAAATTTCGGCCAACCCAAAAAATACTCCCCAGGTGGTGTTTTAAAGCAAAGAAAAGAGGAAGAAGAAGCCCCCTACCAACCACCCTAGCAAGCAAATCGTGTGAGAGGAGAGGAGGAGAAAAATTTAAAGCAAGAGGAAATGCGACCTAGGGCAGAGAAAGGGTCGGCCAGGTGGAACATCGCGGTTGGGGGAACGTTCGGTCGAGCAGAGCTCGAGGAGACGAGTCGCGTGCGCAACCAGCGGCGAAATGCCGCGTGTGAGGAGGCGAGGAAGACGCTCGGGCTCGGCGACATCGCCCGATTGATCCATGCTTGCGGGAGTTAGGGCACGGGACACCGAGCGGCTCCTGGTCGAGGGAGAAAAAGAAATGCCGCGGGTGAGGACCTAAAATCTCTGGTTTAGGTTAAATATGAGTATAATTTAAGAATAGTTATATAAAAGTAAATATTTAAGATTTTAAAAAAAAATAAATAAATTAATAATAAAATAAAATTTTAATTTGTGTTTCACCCAAGCATCGAAACATAACAAAATTGATGTCATTTTTAGGTAATTTTGATGTTCTGGACGCGTTGGTGAGGTTTGTTTCGCCACCGGAAGTCGTTTTGACGAATTCATCGATTTGCGTGCCAATTTTCTCGTGTCGAAAATATAGCAATATGGGTGTCCTTTCCTACCAAAATGGGTATCCGGGACGCAGCAGTCCAATTTGACGTCAGAAGTCATCCGGAGAAGTTCGCATTTTCACCCGTCCTTTGGGCTTAATTGAAGTCCGATTTCGTGCAATTTCATGAACTTTGTGTTATTGATGTGTGTATATGACAAAAAATGTCGTGACGATGTTTTCCTAAGGCTTGAAGTCCTATTAGGAACTTTTCCCTTGAGTCTTCGCAAAATAACCCATAACCACTCGTCTATAAGACAATGGTCTTGTGCCAAAGATGCTAGACATCAAAGGAAAATAGGAATTGACTAGAATTTTCTAAAAGGGTGAGTCTCAATTCTAGTTTTCTAAGACGGTCAATAGGAACTCCTAGAACTAGATCCTAGGCTCTAAGGAGGAGAAAAGAAGACCTCACAACAAAAATGAGAACAATCATTATCATAAATACTTTCATGCACAACTTCAAAATCACACAAATCAAGAGAGCTTGTAAGAGGAAGCAGTTTCTTCCATCTTCAAATTAAAGTAAACCTAACAATAAAGGTTTGCAAAGTAATGATCTCATCTTCTAAAATCATCCCTCGTTTGATAATAAAAACATGAAATCAAATTGCAACATAGTCATTCGCTTGATAAGAAAAACAGGAAATCAAATTGCGACATAGTCCTAATATATAAAAAATAGCCCTTGGCTAGATTTAGACTCTAATCATTAATGTTCTTTTCAAATTAAATCTCTTTCTTAACTTCATATTAATCACATACTAAAAGATGGAAACTATCCTTTTCAAATTAATAAAAATTTTCAAAATCTAAGAAATTCATCATTGTTCAGCTAAGCAATAATATTTTTTTTTTCACGCCTTGAAACAAATTTTCTTTCTTCAAAAAATTTCTCAAGCACTCCAACAATTTTTTAACCTTGCAACCACAATGGAAAGATAAAAATTTAGGGTAAAGGACTTAATACATACATGAACTAGTGAACAAATGATTTTTTTAGAACCTGATTAGATGCCTTCAAAATATATCTTTGGCCATCATCCTCCTCCCCTCTATTCCTACAATAAGAGCACAAATGAACTCCTTTTACTGGTTTTTCCCTTTATTATTCTCTCCAAATCATTTCCTTACATGTAAACCTTCAAATTAGTTTAACAACACAAACTTCATTAACATGTTTAGGACACTTCAAATGAACAAGCTACCAAATTACCTTAGTATACACATTTATTAATTATTTATTATCTATGTAAGCACAAATGCATGGATAAAAGGATGTAGAAATATTCATTCCAAGATTACCACAAGGCCATTACGTCATCATGGACGGAATGATAGATCCTTCAATTGTTGAGGGTCTACTTTTGATGGCGCATGCGTCAAGGCACATTGAGAGGTTGTGGTCTTTGGAAAAGCTATTACATCTCTAATTGAACTTGCACCAGCCAAAAGCATCACAAGCCTGTCCAAACCATATGCAATCCCCCCTGTCGAACGATATAAGAAAAGCAAATGTTAAAACTAGAAATAATACTATGCAAGTGCCTGATACGAAATTATGTCATTTGTTTTGGGCAACTCAAATCATAAATGGAACTTGAATATTAGAAGGAAGAAAACTTCCCAAGTATATGTTACTTTCAAAAATGAAGAAGCATACTTTCAGAAATGAATAAGAACATAAAACAAAAAGTAACAGGGCTTGACAACTACATAACAACCATTTGGGCGATCCCAGTCAAAATGATAAGGAAAATCAGTGCAAAATCAAAGGTGACATGCGCATCTCTTGCCATTTGATGACTAAGTTTTATAATGGAGAACAGTGATAAACTCTGACAACTGAAAGGGAAATTAATAATGATGAAGGTTTCATGAACTAAACTTTCTAGGGCATTTACATACATACCACTTAATTCTTATATATTTAAAATATAACACCTTAAATTTTGATTTTACATGTATACCACTCAAATCTCTCATATCACATCAAAAAACTTCTAAAAAGTGAAATACACCTTGCATGCATAGGTAAAGCGGCATATATGTAAAATTGAAGTTTAGGTGTTAGATAGGTAAATACATTAAAATTGAGTGGTATGTACGTAAATTTTCCAACTTTCTAACTCTCCAAAATTCAGCTATAGATCATCAAGCCATGTTTCTTCGAATTTCCAACATTTTTTATTCTCAAAATTTTCAAGGCAACTAGGTTTTCCCCTTTTTTTCATCATCTAAGTGCAATTCGGAGCTTTCCTGGAAATCACGTTGTTTAATTCTCATACCAGAAATCACATACCATGAGGAGGTGCCCCCTGATCTAGAGTTTGCAAGAAGTAACCAAATTTCTCTTCAGCCTGCAATTATCAATTCACATTATCCAGCGAGGTCAAACTGATAATTGTCAACAAATAAAAAACTCAAAAAAAAAAAAAATCAAAGGAATCAATTACTTGAGTGGTAAGAATTGTTAAAACTGAACTTGCAAATTCGTTCCAATGTGCATACTTATATTCATATGTAAAATTAAACACATAATGGTAATAAAATGTAAAAGAATAGGCCCCAGAATTTAACGCCACATAAGAATTGTCCACTTCTGCTATTGGTCACACAACACCCTAATACCCTCTGAATAAAACTGGAAGGGAAACAAATTATGAAAGAAATAAGATTTATTAATAAAAAATAGATCGTAGAATTTTAGTCATCTCAGGCACTCTATAAAGAGTTAGAATTTCTACAGCGTGGGTATAAATTTTTTTCATGATCAATTCTTTTATCTTACTATAATCAAATGACAGATAAAAACCTATCCTCTAAATCTGCATGCAAAAAATTAGGGAGATTCATAAGACTTTACAACGATTTAATCATACAATGAGCCCAAAATGTTAGCGTGTGAATGGTTCTGGAGGAAAAATTATTTTCTCATTAAATTTATAACATAGGAGTACCCAAATTAAATGAACCACATAGGTTCAAGTGGTTCAATCGTGAACAAGGCATATGACCGAGCCAGGTAGCCTCAAGATCCATTCTCTCATCAAATCGGCGAAAATTGAGTTGAACCACCAGTCGAAACAGCGAACTAGTGAACCGATGTGACTATTATGAAACAAGATGGTACAAATTGCCTATTTATTTACCTTTGATTCTCAATTAAATAGTTAATTGCTATTATGTAGACTTAATTCTGTATACTATGTTAAGTCAAATATATAATTAAAAATTAAAAAACATTAAATCTAATCATTAACATGAGTTTAATTATACTAATTCATTACATGCCCATCACCTATGTGATTTAGTCCTATGTGATTTAGGAGCTCAAGCTATAAAAATGATTTTTCTTTTCTATATAAATAGCAAAACGCTACGTCTTTTTCATATTGTGGGACTAAAAATTGTGGGTATAATAATAAACAGTTCTACTGCAAAAATAAAAAATTAGGCCAGTCGCTAGAAATATTAAATTCGCTATATAATGTAGGAATATAATAATAAAATTTCATTTTTTAAATCTATTAATATTATAAATTTCTATTCTTATTAATTACTATAAATTATACTAGTATAAATTATATTCCTACTATAAATTACCTTTTTTTTTATATATCTATATTATGTTCATTATCTTACTTTTTCAAATATAAATAATATATATAAATGCATATTTATATATTTATAATACATATGCAATTATTTCTTGACAAGCTTTATATCAAGTATCAAATTTCTAATTATTAAATATGTTACTTGTGTTCAAGTTATATTTATTTTTGTTAACATATTTATATTATTGCATAAATTAAATCAAATTTAAATAATTTAATATTTATTATGACATTTGATTTAACTCCGGCCCACACTTGGGGATAACTACATGAAACACAAAACCAAGTCATGAGAACAAAGTATAGAAGATGGAGAAAGAAGGTGGCCAACATCAGGTGGGATTTCAAACAGTAGAAGCCTTGCAATTAGGAGATACAAGTGAGCAGGCATCAGTGATGAATAGAAAAATTTATGTGCATAACGAGCACATGCGAGCAATCAAGCCAAGTCATGAGAACGATGTATAGAAGATGGAGACGACATCAAAGAAGGTGGCCAACATCATGTGGGATTTCAAACAGTAGAAGCCTTGCAATTAGAGAGACAAGTGAAGCAGGCATCAGTGATGAATAGAAAAATTTATGTGCATAACAAGCACATGCGAGCAATCAAGCTAAAGGTTGAGCGATGCAATCGACATTAAGCACAACATACGAGAAATGGAATAGTGTGCAATACAGGAGATGAACTGCACACAGGTGACAACGTCACCTGCATGGTGTTATCGTGCGAGTGATGAATGGTCGAAAGGATTCTATGCAGCAAAAAGACAACCAGAAAGTGCGAGCAAATGGAGTAGGCCGAGTGTCGCAACAACAAACAAAGGCTAAGTTTTACACTTCTACCATTTATTTTAGAAATAATTATTTAAATTAAAATTTCATTACTTATTAATATTACAAATTATTAACTAATATAAGAGATTAAAATTGAAAGAATATATGAAAAAAAATTTGAAAGAATCACCAATTTTGTAAAAGAAAAAAGAGAAGAAGTGAGAAAAAATTCTACTTGAAAGCTTTTTATTTGGAATAAATATTTGGATTTAGAATAACTTTAAATTTAAACAAGCAATTTAGGATATCATTAGAATGCAATAATGTTTTGGTAGAAGTGGTTGATGATTGGCCTTTAGAAAGTCGTAACAACGGATTTTTTAGATAAATTTGTATAAACATTTGTACAATATAATTATGTTTAAAAATGTGAAGAAATATTTAAATTTCTAATTACAAAAAAAAAAGATAACTAGTTGAGGTATGCAATTAAATTAGAAATGATATAATTTAACTTAAATTTTATGAAAATTACATATAGCCAATTAGTTAGGAATGTAATATAAAACCACATTGTGAATATTTTTATCGAAAAAAATGATTTGTGATTAGGTACTGCATTCGAGGAAGTAGAGAAAAACAATTAAGCAACAAAACAAATCATTTAAATTCAAAGGTGAGTAATTAACTTTTTACCTATCCTAATTTCAGCTCCTTTAAAATTTAAATACATTCATGTTTAAAATGTTTAGATCCTAATAGTTATAGAAACAATTAATTGAACGTTTGATTCATTGAAGTCATGTAAGCATTATAACATGTTTTGAAAAGATTTCATATATTTTACCTGCAGTGAAAGTTTAATGCATATTGCAAATAATTGAAAAAAATGAATGAAAATCAATTGAAATAATTGTACAAGTCAATCAAAGAAGTAACCCTAGCATGGTACTAGTTGAGAATGCTATTAAAAATGTGCATGAAAATAGAAATAAAAATAAAAATGGCTTAGAAAATGATATAAAAATAAGTTATCTTAATTGGTGCAATATTTTAGACAGTGCCATTGAGATAACTTCATAAAAAATAAAAATGTTAATTTTAAAAAAATTTTATAAAATGAAATATTAATGTAGAATCATTTTTAAACGGCATGCACGATAAAACATAAACATAAAAAAAAGTAAACAAAATTATGAGTATTCACTAAGTTATGTAATTTAACTTATTTAGTTTACAGGAAAAGCTCATTTGAGTTAAATGGCTGACAAAAAAGAATTTGTTTACAGAAGAGGAACTAATAAAAATAAGTATTAGAAAAAAAATTTTATCTCGTGTTCTTTACTAGAAGCTATTGTTGCAATTGTATATTTTCATATATATTTAGATTATGTTTTATAAATCTTATGGCTTATGGTGACTCTTTACTGTTTTAATAATTGTTATAGATTATTGTAAAAGTTAGAATAATATAATTCTATTGTCCGATTGTCTAGCTCCCGAGCCAGGACATGATAACAAACTTGTATTATTCGAAATATTTGAGGTTGGCTTTTTGAATCCTGAAAAAGTTCTACAGCATTCCCCAAAAAAACCTACAAAAAAAATCAAATTGAGGTCTACTTCACTAAGATGGCCAATTAAAAGAAGAAGAAAATGCAATATAATTTTGCTTTGTAAATGTGATTGGGCTGAATACGCAACACTCTCTTTCTCTGCCTAATTTTATTTTTACATGAACCATTTAATATAGTCGGTAGATAATGTTGACCTCAATTTTCGTGAGGTCTAGTATTCCTCGTAGGAGTTAGGATCTAGCCTTAGGGGTCTTCCTGCGACTATCTTAGAACCTTAGAAGTGGTGCCCGCCTTGTTTTAGTTCGACCTATTTCCGTCCTCTTTTGGAGTTTCGCGTGTGCGGTATCGACTTCTAACACTTAGAAGGATGAAACCGACATGAGGAAGCCCAAAATGGATTCCTATAGGACCTTCCCGAGCCTTAGGGTG